TCAATATCTATGGGTGTATGTATATATCTATGTCTATATAAATATCTGTCAACATGTATACCTATACGTATGTCTATATACATAACATAGTAAATTTGTACTACAATGCAAACTGTGAGCACTATTGCAATTAAAATGGTAGAATCGCAACTCATATGTACAGCACTCAAGAAAATGCTTTTCCATTAAAGATGTTGAATAGAAGACATTGCTTACCTTAATTTGCTTTGCCTGTGCCTCCTCTCTTGTGCAGTCATCTGGTGCATGATTTCAAATACCCAAAATGGGGATACCCCTGTCAAAACAGTTTTAAAAGGTATAAAGTTCTAATTGTCTAAATACAAAGACATAAAAATAAAGAATGGTAAAAAAAACAGAGGATTCCTTTATATGTATTTATGATATCTATGCCTTCAATAAATATTGCTAGTAATATACATGATCATCATAAATTGATAGTATAATCATTATAATCATTACTGAATATAATCTTTACTGCATTCCTCTTCCAACTTTTGCTCTTGAAACAAGTCACTCTCTTCCTTTTTATCAAAAATAATACATCTCATTTTACTTATAAATGCTATCATTAAAAAAAATAGAATAAAAAGATACATATCGAAAATACACAACTCTAGTAATAACAATATTGGGATATTGTAAGGAAAGACAAAATTCTGTAACTATTTATTTTTAAGAGTTAACAAGTACAAGGAAAAACAAGGTAAAAAAAATGTAATTTAGGATAAATTGTTACTCCTACATCCAAACTGACACTGACACTTTACATACTTGGCATGTCTCTTTCAATAAAAAAAAAAAATACTAACATTCTTTACAAACTGAACTTTTTTTCTATTCCTTTATGCTACATAGAGGAAAGTAATGGTTACTGAAACTACTGTAACTGTTCGAGGATAACTGTCGAAACTGGAAGTCCATATCGGAAAAAAAATGTTATGGAATCCACTAGGTCTTTCTTTTAAATCTTACTTTTCAAACCAACGACTTCTTCGAGAACATATATATATATATATAAAGGACTTTCAGCAATACCTTGTTTAGTGCAGACAGAAACATTCTTCAAGTGTCTTTGCAATAGTTCAAATTATACAATATGTAAAGAAGTGTCACGACCAGTTTTTCAAGCTAAATTCTTTTACGAAGAAACTCTTCAACCAAGAGTCTGGAATAAGCAAAATTTATAACACTCTCCTCAAATGAATTATCAGAGGGTCTGTTTTTTTTCTTTTTCTTTTTATAATTTAGGAAGTACAGAGTCTCAACCCTTTGTTTTTGTTGTTGCAGAAAGTGACAAATATAAGCTCTCACAACTGCAGTTTTCGGAATGTTTTAAACCTTTTGTGTAATCCAAATTGCAGACACCTACTCTGATATGTTTATGAAAATTATTCCTAATCTATATTTACATGATGAACTGCCCTATTTCCTCTACTATATACATACAACTGTATACATACTATTCTAAATGTTTAAACTGCCAAAAATATTATAAGAGTAATGTATCTGACAACATATTATATGTATAACACAAAATACCCTCTAAAAGGAAAGAACTCAAATAATTTCATTTAAATATCATATATCTAAACTATGTACAACCTTTTGGCAATATTTGGGTCTCACACATACAAACATGCACACAAATATTATCTGACCACTAAATTGCATTACACTTCTCCCTGGTAATTGAACTTGCAAAATACAAAGATGCTTGCCAAAGCAAAATATTGTATTAAACATTTCATAAAAAATTATAAATGTTTATGCTCCTTCTCAGTACAACCTTCTGAAAGAATTGACGTTCTTTAATCATTATTTTTATTATACTGCATCAGCTGTTAATGGCATTCATCATATTTCTGAATATTCTTTATCAATATTTCATTGGGACTACTTCACGACAGGCTGTTAGCTAACTTATATCAAAATTTAAGTGAAATCATATATAGTCTAATTTATGTGGTAGATGATTTCCACATTAACCTTATAAATTGATTTTGCTGAAGTTCCTGAATCAATATTATCTGAAAGTTATTGATGATTTAGTGCTTAATACACACAAAAACTCACCTTACCATATACCTATATGTCCAGTTAAATCATTTGTTAATTAATATAAATGTAGCACAAACTCTATAGAATCAAACTGTCTTTGTGTTCAGTATACAGTATTTTTAAAATACTAATAATACTCATTTATCTCATTTATGGAATAAAACACCATGGATATCTCAGTCCCACTGAAACAGACCCACATTTACACCTGCCAGCTGACTGCTTTCTCCAAACTCACAGTTACACCTTTCTCCTGACGGCCAAAATAATCAATGTGATTGCACAAATTCTCTCCCAGAAAAGACTAGCAGCAAACCAACATGACGCACAAAAAAAGGGGGAATCTCATACTTGGCTAATTCACATGAAGACACAGATACACGATACTTTGCACACAAGTCTGTAATCAAGTTTTGGTCACAAAGGATGATCCATTGTGTTGAGTCTCTAAGGCTAAACAAAGAAGACCATTTATTAATCTCTTTGGCATTGATGAGTAAATCAAAATATGGTTTCTTTTTCAATTATTAACTGCTTCTTTCTTTTGTTTCTTGTGTATGTAGAATATCTTATTCACTGTAAAATATATGTTTCAAATCAAGAGTAAATGTGATAATACTGAAATTGTTGTTGGTATACAATGTACTTTATAACCACCTTGTACACACAGCACTCAACCATCTTTCTAATTTTTGTTTTGTTTTCTTTAACATGATGAAACCATTGTACTCTAATATCCATGGAATGTATTTATAAATATAACTGGTTTCCTTTAAGTACATGCACCTCAATATGCAATACCCAAATATTAATGGAAAATAAATCTAAAAAAAACTGCACACGAATGCTGCCTTTGCAAAATCTTGAAATTACTCAATGGAGAATTTTTTTTTTTTCTTCTAAATAATAAAAAACAAATCAATAACAACATCAAATAAGTGAGTAGAATATAGTTTCCTGATATGAGCAACACTGCAATTACTCTGTAACTAACACTCTCTCTCAAAAAACTAATCAAAGTCTAAACTCTCTTTAAGCCTCATAGCGGCTGTTTAAAAGCACTTCTGATCTACATCATTACTCTCGCACTGCCACTGGGCCTACTGTTTCAGCCTACAATACTCTGAGAATCGCGTACACTATATCTTGCACTGACAGTTTTTTTAAGCTAGGTCATCCCTTACAGTTATTTATTATATACGCTACCTTAACAAAACCTCACTTCTTGTGTACTTGTTTTCTACGACCAGTTCCACTGAGCATTTAGCTGTAAGAGTATATAGTTCAGTCTTCTGATGATATTAAATGCATAAAAATAAATAAGAGCTTAGTTCAAAATATTATCCGTTTCAATATGTCTGTAAAAATCTTTTTAAAAATATCCCATTACTATTATGGGCGGATTACACCATTATTCAGGAAACCTCGGTGATGTGAAATTCACATTGAGTGGAGTCTTTGCAGTCAAATGTGATTCCAGCCATTGAATAATCATCCTTTTTTATTATCAAACTAATACCTATAAATGTGAAACAGGAGAAAGACCAAATTTTGGTCAAGCAAAAGGGACTTTGAATAACTTGTCACCCATTTGTGATGACATTACAAACACTATAGAGTCAAATAGGGGGAAGGGAGAATACTCCAAAAATTGGATAACTTTTAAAAAGATGAGAAATCTAAAAACAGGAAATCCAACACTTACTTCTAGGTCTTTGGAATTCACAGTTAACAATGACGAGTGAAATGGCCTGTTTACTCTCAACAAAGAGGTGTTTGTTTGTGGTGCGAGGGTAGGTGGGCATGGCTGTGTATGCGTACATGTGTGCATTTTCCTGAATATATGTAATAAACAAATGTGCCTTTTTTCTCTTAATCTGTGTATCTGTTTCTTTAAATTTCTGCAGCTGTGAACCTGTGTGTGTGCATGTGCGCGTGTGTGCATGCGCATGTGAGTGTGCGTGTGCGTGTGCGTGTGTGTCGTGCACGTGTGTGGGTGTGTAGGTGGGTGGATGGGTGTGTGTGTGTGCGCATGTGCATGTGCGTGTCTGTGTGTGTGTGGGGGGGTATAGGTGTGTGTGAGTGTGCATGGGTGTGCGTGGGTGTGAGGGTGTGGATGCAGGTCTGTGTGTATTTAAGAGTATACCTCAACATGTGTGAGCATTTGAGTGTATCTACACATATTTGTGAATGTTTGTGAGCATATTCATTAACAGGACTACAGTGTCATCATTTTCAGGGAAATCTATGCATACAAGGCATCTGGCAACTCTGAAAGAGGTTCCTATGAAATCTGAGGCAATCATCCATGAAAAAAACAATTAGTAATTGCAAAGAGCTTATGAGTCCCTTGATAAATGACTACCAGCTAACAAGTGTTCTACAGGATGGAGCAAAAAAAGAATAAAGATAATATCGAGAAAAAAAAATTCAAGAGGGACTTTCCCACTTCTTTTCTCCACAAACTAACATAAAAGAGACATTTACAGAAACCATTTTCTATTGTTGTGTGAAATGGATTACCAGGATTACTACTGTAGGCCCAATACACCACTTCAGATTACAAGGAAAAGGGGATTACACCAGGGAGAGGAAAATGAAGGAAGTGTGGAAACGTAACATATGGATGGCCGCTACTTGGTACTATCTATCTAACTAGAGCTTAACACTGACCTTTTAACGTGGTCTCGACTACTATATCCTACTAATGGCAGGAAGAACTTTGCCCTTTTATCACCAATGATCAAACTTTCTAAGCCCGGGTATATTAAGAGGTAGTTCCATAGGACTACTGTTGATAAAGGTTTAAATGAAAGAGATTTGATGGGTGTGAAAATCAGTTTGAGTAATAACGCTGCACCTTGAATAAATCTGATCTAATATTGAATAATAGAAACACCATTTATATAATTTTCAAAAAGCTTTACATCACCAAAATGGAAATGTTTACCTTGCTGACACAAAGAAATCATTCAGAATTACAATAACCTCCACAGAGCTTCAGAACAAAACAAAAATATAATCATCTTTCCAGAATACAAGAAACAATAAAAGATATCTAAAAAAAAGAAAAATTATGATAATAATATAATAATCATCATCAAAACTTCAAACTTAGACATCAGTTAAGGAGAAAATACAGCCTTGGAAGTGAGAGCTTTTTTTCCCGATACCCAGCAAAGTTGTCAAGCAAAATTCTCGGCCACCAGCGACTACACTGGGAGGAGGGATGGGGAATGGAGGGATTAATCACGACTGTATGATAGCAGCGGCGAAGACATGGATGGACGCTCGTTTATTGCATCTCTGGACTACGGTACAATACTTCAGCTAATTTTGAATAACTGGAAGCATAATCATAGATAGAACTACTTGTATATTATTTCTAATTTTTAGTTTTTTTTTAAGATTTTTTTTTTTTTTTTTTTAGTATTTCTTTTCACTTAAGAGGCTAAAATATAATCATATGGGCTACGTATTTCTACGGCTTTTTTTCAAATATTCCCAATACAAGGATATCATACTGATTGTCCTACAAACACCGCAGTTTCTACATTCATCGGATGCAATTCTTATTTTTTCAAATTCAGGCAACCATACAGTCTTTTTTCAATTTCATATAACAAATTTTGCTGATGTCATTGATATAATTAGCAGCTATCACCTTCACAAGTGATGCCTCGTGATCTTTAAGACATGACAAGATCGAGCTACATTTGGTAGGGACTCACTAGCCTAGCAGTCTGGCTAGCGTTGATATGGTATACAATTTGTAATGTTTGGATTCTATGAGACAAATCAAAATATCCATCTATGGTTTCGGTAACTACATGTGGAGTATATATAGACATGTTCCATGCATAAGGTTCAATATACAACCCTCCCTAACTCAAAGAACTATTCAGTATTTGTAATCAACCTGAACTAAATTCTTGTGTGATGTATTAAGGTATGAAATATATACATATTATTTCCTAACAAAAATTTTTATACATAATGTTTATTTTCACTGCAAAACCATATTTATTCCCTGAACTCACAACTTTGGCACTAACGTTGGAAGAGAGTCAGCAATGCTCATATTAATACTGTACATCAACTGAGATTATTACACTACAAACGTCTTGTGAACACCCTATGCATTTCATTGTGAGAAAAATAGGTTAAAAATTACAAATCCAGTTACTTACATGCAATGATCAGGCAAAACGAAGTGTAGTTTGCCATGTACATTTAACAATAAGGCCAAATCTTAAGCAGCAGGTTGTGAGATCTCATTCTCCCCCAAAACAATGACAACCTTATTGAGTCAAAACTAAGTGTTGGCACAAAAGCTGCCTGCGCATTCAAGCAAATCCTTGATCCTGGTTCTAACCTGAGAGATATTCTTTGTCGAACATGTGCCTCTTGGAATCTAAATCTCATTTGCGCTCTTCTTTGTTGCGCAACTCACACCTGAATATATGTACATATCAAAAGGAAAAAAAAAGAGGAAAAAAATTATGATACAGTTCCCCTTGCAAATCCCTAAACTATCAATATATTAGGCAACTATAGTATAGCAACATCATGTACTGTGGAATGTATATGGACAAAATATAAGCTGTCCCCTCATAACTTAGAAGAAATTTCAGCCATCAAAGTTATTATTGGACAGCCAAAGTATTCAAAGGTATTTTGTACTAGATTAAACCATTAAGTACTTATGGTGGAATGTTTGCTGTGGAATATTTAGAGTTACGGCTGAGAGAGATGGAGAATATCTTTGTGTTCATGTATTGCAACTATTCTCAATGTACAACAACCTTTTAAAGTGAAAAGTGTTAAATCTTTTTTCTTCATCTTGGTTTGAGGGTCAAGGTAAAGAGTTCACAAGAGAACTTTTTCAGGGGTAAAGGATCTTGGATAAACAAGAATACTGTTCTAGAATAATGACTAGGAAAACGACTAGCAGTATATATCATGGAAGATTCATAGAGTCTAGCAAAAAATTAGCAACAGGATATGGAATGAAATAGACTGAAGTAATCAGTAATCTAAACCTTATTGTAGCACACTAAATTTTCTTTGTCCCTCAGACACACTCACCAACTCTTGTGCAACTTCAAAGGTTTTTACCACTGACTACATCCTACAACCAAACCAACAAATTCTACAGGACCTCGAATAATCATGCTTCTGAGGAGGAGTTTGGGGGGATTGGAAAAGGTCGACTAGGAAACAAACTGGAAGCTTCTTTTTTTCTCTCGGAGATGGTAGAAGGTCACGGGTATCTTTCCAACAACAGTAGGCGTTCCTCCACGCGTCAACTATAGGGTCTCGTGACTCACGGGATGAAGGAGGACCATGTGTTCAGCACCTTTGATGGGCAGTCTGAAGATGCTGTGGTGGTGGATCATGTGGGGCACCGTGGGGAACTGTTTAGTGCCGCGGCCGAGCATGTACCCGCCCGTCTTGCAGTCAAACTGGATCCTCAGGTGCATAAAGCCACGAGCAGACCTGAAGTAGGAAATGGGAAATGAGAGTGCTGAAAAGACAACAAAAAGGAAAGGCAGTGTAAGGGAAAAGAAAAGAAAATTCCATATATCAATGTGTGTTGGTGGGGTATATGGGTATACGAGAGAATGTGTATGAGCATATGATTATATATGAGTGTGAATGAGAACATGCGGGTGTGGATGTATATACATGAGTGTGTGGGTGCATATACAAGTGGGTGTGGATGTACATGTGTGTGTAAGTATATGAGTAGCAATGGGTCTGGGTGTTCATGTTGGCATGAGAGGGCTATACAAAACCTACCCTGCCTATTACAAGGTATTTGCAAATTTGTTTAACTGAATTCTAAAATGCATCAGACCAATGCTTCCATAAACACAAGGGATAATCTTTGTATTCCCTAAACATGATAGAAAAACTTTGTATGCCTTAATCCTTTGTCCACAGCTAGTATGTAGTTCATGCCATGGCTGTTTGTAGAAAAAGTAACAGATGGCATTGCAATACGACTATTAAATATATTAGTTACACCTTGATGCTCTGAACACTAAGTTTTCTGTTTACCCTCAGTTCCTTTGCTTTTTATTTCTTAATCAAAGAATATCTATATTTTTGGATGAGTAGAATGTAAGTTTCCTGAATTTGAATTAGAGGAATATTATATTTTTAATCTAGTTTTACACCATCTGAGAAAAAGTACATATTTCCCATATATATCTTTATGTAAGAAGACTATAAGAAATAAAAGCCACTACAAGGCACTGCCAGGTCGGCAATGTTTCAGTCAACAACTCCCAGCCCTTTACTTTTGTTTCTACAAATGTTTTGTTACCAAATGTGGGTCTTGTGCGACTGTCTCCCACAACAACCATTCCCGCGCTGTCGGCTCATTGGACGGAGCTTGTTTTTCTCTGATAGCTGTAACATCATTTCTATGGTAAAATTTTAGGCAATAGCACCTAAGGTGAAGGTAAACCTTCAAAATATTTATATTTTTTAAAATCATATCAAAATGCAAACCTTTAGGTGCCTAATGTTGCTCATAAACTACCTAACGAGCCATGGGCAAACAAGGGAAACTGTCAGTGTGTGCTAACAACCCTGTGATAATGTCCACTTGCCAAAATTTTTTACCCGCAGTTACTGGGTTAAACACAGCAGATAAACTTAGTATTCCCTAAACATGATAAACAAACTTTGTATCACTTAAACACAATAGATAACCTCTGTATTCCCCATACAAAATAGATCAACTTTGTATAAGGTAAATTCAACATATTATAGAAGAAAATGGGGTCAGGTTCTATAGCTCTGGTAAATCACACTTAATTAAAAATGAAAAAGGTGTAGACTGTTCCTTCCTTCGTATACATGTTTTCACTTTACACAATGAAGAAGATAACTAGAAAGAAATACCTGATAAATAATAAAGTATCGTAAATCAGATGTAAAAGATTACTGGAAGGCTTGCTGTCCACCTAATTCTCAATCTAACACTACTTGATACTGTTGCCATTCATCGGCAATATATTTCACTGCTTCAACGCCAGCCCGACCATCTATCCCTGGCCCTCTTCTCTACATTTCTTTCATCGTTCCATACTTCTTGCTTCCCTATATATCAAAATCATCAAAATATATTTTAAGTCTCTCTAGGGTAGAAGTGGATAAACCTGTAAACTATTAAAAGAGCTAAAAACTGACATGCAATTCTTTTACAATATATCAACCAGCAACAGTGAAGCAGACAAAAGAATTGTGATGTACTGACTGTATGATTAATCAATAATTCTTCTGAAAATAAGACTAAAATATCCAAGATAACTGCAAATTGAAAACCTTAAGACAGAAGAGGAATTCACAAGAAATATCCAAGATAACTGCAACTTGAAAACCTCTAGCATCCTTCAGCAGATCCAAGTATCAGCACTGTGAGAAAAAGCTTTTGGACCTACATCATGAAAAAATCTGGCTTGAGGGGCGGGTGATGTGAACAAGCTGTCATGGGAAAATCTGGCTGTGGGCTGGGGTGTTGCCACAAGTGCACAAACCTCTTGGAGGGTGATTAGACTTTTGCATTATTTACTTTCATAAACAGGTGTGGAATGTACTGTCCATTAGTCATGACAGGAAGAATGCCAGCTCAAGGGAGGAAACTATTTCCATGCTGAGGATCCTATTCCTGGCCGCTGTGACCAGTGGCGCAGGTGGTATTAGAGAAAATTTAATATTTCAAAATCTTTTAAAAATGACACAAATAACAAAATGCCTTTAACCATTTGAAAAAAGCAAATGAAATGACAAATATAGACACTGGAAAATGGCAAAAAATAAAAATAAAAATGCATTTGTAGAAAAAGAGAAAATAACACTGCAAAGGGGAGGCATAAAGTCTTGTAACAGCACATAAGAGTTCACTTGCGCCTGGCCTAAAAGCCACAAACTTATCAGCCGATAAAGTACGCCTAATGCCCATATTTTGGGTCATGTGATAGCAGAGAATCATCCAGGTCCAATGGATTAATAACATTTCCATGTTTGTGCTTATGCAATATTCACTTGTAATTACTTTCACATAAACTGTAAATACATGGAATTATTAAGAATGTAAACAGCACTTATTCTTTTCCATATACATGTATATGCTTGGTGGATTGACATCTTTTAATCATCAGCAAAGATTCCCTAAATATTTCATGAACTTAATATAATATCTCACACTTCTGGTAATAATAGTCAAATACATTACATACTTTATCCAAAGCTGCTAAAGGTAATACATAAACTCAAACTTGACCATTCCTCTTTTTTTCAGCTAATTGATACTTCCTATCAGTCATTATGTCAATCAGTAACACAGAATTAACACTTACTTCAGAGCAAGAGAGTATTCATGTCTAGACACATCAAGTGAGCGCACCAGGTAACTGCCTTCAGAACACGACCTGAGTGTTTCTTCAGCCTCTGTCCTGTTTAATGCACCGTGGTACCATCTGGAAATAACAAAGTACAAAATCTAATTAATACTCAAAATTAACTGTAATCGAAATGTAATACTAAGTTCATATAAATATTCCTGAATGATAACAATGAATAAGTGCCAAGAATGATCCAGCATAGTTGGTCATTAAATCCACTGGCATCGTTTTACTTGCACTGTCCTGGCTTCACAAGCACGTAACTCACCAAACAAGTCAATTAATAAGCCTATCTCACCTATGTAACCCATTGTTAAATTTTCTATTATTATTGTTATCATCATGAACATCATTACCATAACACTGTTAACTGTAATAATACCAACAAAAATAACAACTTGTCTGTCTGAAATTTCCAAGAATGTGTTAACATGCATCTGATAGTCCTTGTGTCTGACTCCTTGGTGACTATGTGCTTCTGGGGCCATTCTAGTGTAAATAAAGATAATAAAACTAAACTACAGGGGACAGTGCAGGCGTATATGCACTCCCATAGCGAACTGGTTAAGGTTCTAATAAACCCTTATACTGACTGCCTACCTACAAAGATCACTCCATAACTTGAAAAAAAAAACAAACACAAAGCATACTTAGTAACTTCTGAGCCACATTCTATGGTCAACATAAAAAGGTATATAGAGTTGTGATCTACAGAAAAACAGACCAGCCTGGGATATAGAACTTGTAGAAAAGGTATGAATGAGAATGAATATCTTCACAATACACAATCTGACCAGTTTTGAATATATCTTTGTCAGAAATACATGTATTTCTACTGAAAATATATTTGAAACAGGTCAAATACATCTCTTGTATTGTGAAGATATTCATTCTCATTCATATCTTTTCTACATCTGTCAACATGAAAACCTGTCCATATAAAATTTATCAAAAAAATCATCTATCTTTGCAAAATCACTTATTTTTGCTTTCAGTGTAAGATGTACTACATACTCATTAGAAACCATCATTTCTTGTATGACATAGGTTTATATACATATAAACTGATATACCTGGATCAAACAACAAATACATAAACAGGTAAGATAGATAAACAGATACACAAACAGAAAAATAGGTTGACATATAATCCAATCTCTCCATAGATATTAATTACAATAACTAAATTATCCCCATCACGTATTACAGTCTTACCCTTGCTTCATCAGAGGAAGGTTAGTGTCCACTTTCTCTCCCTTGATAGCCATGGCCGCACACCCAAGGTCCAAGGCTAATCCCGATTTTGCTTTCCCCCCGAAGAGATCTGAGGGATGGAAGGAGGGTCAGGTGAGTCTGAGGTACCTGGTTAGGTGTTCTTACTTTCTATTAAGCAGGTATTAGAAGCTGGGCTTGAATGTCAGACATTTTACTTTGTAAATGCTCTTCCATTCTAATACTGCAGCCATATCTACTAAATCATTCCTTCTCAAAAGACATGCTTGAAATAAATCCATAGAGTCATATCTGCACTACAAAAATATGCACATATTTGAACAGGGATGGCCTAATTTCAGCTACAACTTAGTAAAACATTTGGAACACAAAGGCAGAAACATAAAACAATGGTAGAATTGTGTTAAGTAACATAATGGGTAAAAAGATGAAAAAATTACCTATTGCTATTTACCTCACTAACTGTTCATAAACCAACATAACTATAAAATCTGTCTCTGAACTTACCATACTTAAAATGACTAAACATTTTCTCAGCTAAAGTAAAAATATCTTACTCTATGACACACAAACAAAAAGATAAACCAATAAAAGTTTCTATGAAAATACATTTTCTTATCTTAAAGAAAAAAAATACCTGAACCTATAACAAGTTCACTAACTTTTATTTATACCTAGTAGTTTAAACAAAAGAGTCAGGGTAGTGTTAATATACAGGTTTTAAGTAGAATCAAATAACAAATTATTCCAAAAGAAGTGGAAAAGCTACTT